GCGTTGGCTGGATGGGCGACCACCGTTGGCTCCTTCCGGCGGTTTAACTAATCGGCAGGTACGCCAGTTTTTCTAATCGTGTTAATTTCTGTTAAAATGTAGCAATTGTCAGTAATGTTTGCCGCTGTTTCCTGGAGGGAACTTAGAGCACTCGTCATGATTCTTGAAATATAAACCCCCTATCCTGAGTTAAACAAAGAAGTCTATCGTATGGTAATGGTCAGGTGATACTTGACTACTGACTTCTTGGTGAACACTGATACGCTTTGCAGGTTCACAAGAAAGGCGTAGGAGTCGATGAACTTGTGTATCCTATGTTACTTCTCCTGACGGTAAAAAAATTAATGCTCATTAGCTGCGTTCGTCTCCGTCCATTGAGAGTCTTGTGGCAACTAAGGAAGTAGGCTGTGTGGCGTCCATAAGCATCGCCATGATCAAGGCCTACTACGAATTCACCACTGCGTGGGTTCTCGTCCATACCCATTTCTTCTAGCCGTTCGACCAACCAACAATTCTAGTCAGGGTGAGCTAAATTTCCACATAATGATCACGCCAATAGTTAACAGGTATGATGAAATACTGGTACTAACGTAGCATTTAGTCGTACTGTCCATAATGAACTCTAGATAGTTCATTCTTTGTGCCCACTTCACCCTTACTCGCGACTGCCTGTGACTACAGGCTGTATTAAGAATCCTATATTTTAGACTAATAGGTATTTTCCTTTGAAGACATTTCCCTTATCTATATTTTTCTGTTTGGCAGTTTAAGGATGTGCCGGCCGCGCTGAAAGAACTCTTCAATCTTATTGACTTGGTCAAGTCAACCAAAAATGAGCTGCTGTGGATTAACAGTGGTGCAGGCGAACCAGAGACCCTATCCGCCGAGCGACTTTCTCAACTGCAGACCTGCCTCTCTGAGGTCTTCCCGACCTGCCAACAAGCCCGCATCAGCCGCGAGATGCAGATTGCACTGCCGGTCTGGCTAAAACCGACACAGAGATCTAACCATATCACCTCCTCACTACGGTATCTTGTTCATGGTCTAGCTGTGCAGACCGATCCAGATCGACTCTTGAATCACACATTGAACAACTTATACCGCAGTATCCATAACTGTTTCGACCGACTTTGCGTCTTTGCCGAGTTTGCCGGCCTGGACGTTGATGATTTCTTGACCAACAATAGAACAGGGGAGAATATTAAAGCTCGGCGCAATGTCAATTCTCTGGCCCAAGTTGGCGCTCTCCACCAATCAGCGAGGGAGTTGATGACGTTTGTGGAGCATACCCGACATCTTGGTGTGCGTGCCATCTGGTTAGCTGCTTGTGAATGGCGCGGTTTGCGACACGCTGTCGCCTATACGCTAGTGGTATGGGAACGTGTAAGTGTGATGGCTGTCAGCCTCCCGACAGTTTAGGCTCTTTTTATGCTTTCTCTCTGGCTCGGAGTTTTTTCTTCATTCGCAGTATTTGCGTCATCAAAGTCCCAATGTCACATTCTTCAACGGAGGACTGAGTGAGAGCCATAGAACGAATCTTTGCTACTTATTGCGTGCCGCGTTCCAAGCTCACGCCCGTTTAGCCCCCGTTCCGCGTGGGTGTCCCCTGGCTTGTCAGAACTCGGACAGTGATGCTGGTCAGCGCGCTCACGCCGAGTGCTGGCCTCAGCGACGTGATGACCCAGACTGGTGGTGGTGGCATTCATACTTCTCCCCTGCCATGCCTGATGCCACCCATACCGGTGAGGCTATAATTCTGTGCATACTTTAAACTAGGACAAA